TTAAATTCATCAAAAATGACATGGACACTCTCCTCAACACGAAGAGTCCTTTTATTAAAGACTCTATATGCTTTGCTGTGAGAAGAGTATCCAAGGAAGATTCCCTCATCACTTCTAGGATCAAATTTATCAAGCTGGTCCTTCCCATTATTATGCACATAACATTTACATCCAAAAATGCGAAAATATGTAATGTTGGGCTTTCGACCTTTAAGCAGTTCATAGGGAGTCTTATTTAACTTTGGTCTAATGAGACCTCTATTCAATATATAGCAAGCAGTGTCAACAGCTTCTCCCCAAAAACTCTTTGGGAGACCACTCTCAATGAGCATCGTCCTCGCCATCTCCTCAAGAGTTCTATTCTTCCTTTCTACAACACCATTCTGTTGAGGTGTTCTAGGGGCTGAGAAGTTGTGATTAACTCCATGTTCCCTACAATAATCAATAAAGTTAGCATTTTCAAATTCAGTACCATGGTCTGATCTTACCGAGACCAGCTTGTGGGTGAGCTGGTTCTCCACTTGTTTCACCAATGTTACCCATTCTTCAAACGTTTCATCCTTTGTGTGTAACATCATTACCCAAGTGTACCTGGAATAATCATCAACCATAACACAGACATATCTATGACCTCTTCGACTTTGTACTCTCATGGGACCACACAAATCAATGTGTACAAGTTCGAAGGGTCTGCTGGTACTCAAAACAGTTTTAGACTTAAAAGAATTTTTGACCTGTTTCCCCCTTACACATTCAGAACAAACTTTATCAGCTTCATACTTAATGTTAGGAAGGCCTACAACTAAGTCACGTGTTTTAAGTTTGTTTAGAAGTGTTAGGCTAGCATGTCCAAACCTCTTATGCCAAATCCATTGATTATTGTCAGAAACAGCTCTCAAACAGATGGACTTGTCTTGAGGGATTTTATCTAAGAAGGTAATGTAAACATCATGCTTCCTGGTTCCCTCACATACAAGTTCTCCTGTTTGTGAGTTAACTATGTGACATAGGTTGGCTTGAAACTCAACTATATTACCTTTGTCACATAATTGAGAAATACTCAAGAGATTATGTTGCAAGCCTTCAACATAATAAACATCATCTATTGCGTTAGAAAGTGTCTTACCAACCTTACCTAAACCAGTGATGGTTCCCTTGTTGTTATCCCCAAAGGTGACACTTCCTCCATCAAAGGCCACTAGTGAAAGGAATTGATCTTTATCCCCGGACATGTGTCTTGAGCAACCACTGTCCAAATACCAATAGGTGTCTCCCTTCACTCTAGCCTGCAAGAGCAAATCAAACATTAGTTTTAGGAACCCAAACATACTTGGGTCCCTTTTCAACAACATTAACATCTTGTTGATCCTTTCTTCTCCACACATATTTTACACCCTTGCTGTTCTTATTAGCACTAATTTTTTTAGCTGGACATTCATGTATCTTATGTCCATTTTTACCACAATGAAAACACACATGCATTTCTTTAGTCATGACATACTTGCCTCGTTGATATTCTTTGATCCAGGTGGTTTCTCTGGGAGACCAGTTAGTCCTGGTTCTCTGTCTAGTATAACCAAGACCAACTTTTCCTCTGTTTCCTCTTGATGAAGTCAGGTAATTTAAGGATTCTTGAGCATTCAATAATTTGTCCACATGTCTATGACTATCATTAAGTTCTTTTTCTCTGGTTTCAAGTGTTTTAGTTAACAATTCGTTTTTCTCTTTAAGAAAATCAAAGTTACTTTTTAAAGCTTCGAATTGTAGATTAAGTTTTGAAACCATAGAGTCAATAGACATGTCAACAATCACTGGTTGCTTGTCCTTTTTCAGTTGATTGATTTCCGCATGCAAATCACAAATATTACTTTCATACTTATCAATCGTATTACTGACATCTACACTGGTACCTGTAGGGGAAACAGTGAACTGTGCAGCTTTAAGTGAAGCAATTTCCTTGTGAGAGTTTTCCAGGTTGTAAGCCAATGTTTCAAAGGCCTTCAACAAGGAAGTTCTAGTACACGAATTTGCTTTACTTATAGCTACTGAAAAATCAAGAGTATCACTAGTGGTTGATAAGTCTCTAGGGAACCAGGAGGTCAGATCCTCTTCTCCATCAATTGGTTCAAACGATCTTTCCTTTTCTAGTTCCACTTTACACTTGTCCAATTCAACCTCTAGTTCTGCTACTTGATTTTTTAGTTCATAACAGACTCCTTCTAGATGATCACAACTAGCAATAGCAATATTACATTCACCACGTTTTTCTTTTAATTCTCTTTTGCAAGTTATGTATGTTTCACTTAGTTTATAGCATTCATCTAGTAAGGAATCAATACAAGCAAGCATATTTTCTCTATCATATTCATGCATATCTTCTCTAATTTGCTCTAAGCTTACCTTGCGTTCATGTAGTACATCCTTCTTTGCCATAAAGCATTTGTTGAATGTACTGGTTCCCCCTCTGGTTCCTGGACCAGTGCTGTTTTCCTTGATGTTTGTAAAGGCAGTTAGGCAAACATCTGAGTTGGGTGATCCTTCTTCTTCATCTGACCCTGAGTCAGAGTCTCCCCACATGGAAGCTATCATGGCATTCTTGTATGCTTGTTTATCTCCGGATTTAGACTGTTTGTCATTCCACTTAGGACAATCTCGAATAAGATGTCCTTTTTCTCCACACTTGAAACATCCTGTAGAAGAAGAATTAGAGTTAGATTTTTTATAGTTTTTAAAATGCTTACCTTTGAAATTCTTTCTTTGATCTCGAAGAGATCTCTCAAATCTTTTTGCAATCATGCTAATTTCATCTTCATCATCTTCTACTGTTCCCTTAAGCGCCATGCCTCTTGCTGGTTCCTTCTCAGACTTAGAGTCAATCAGCATCTCATGAGTCATAAGGGAACCAATCAGCTGTTCCAGAGACAAGGTAGACAGATCCTTTGCTTCGTATACTGCTGTTACCTTGGCTGTCCATGCATCTGTTAAACTACGCAATAATTTTCTCACAAGATCCTCGTCAGATAAATTTTTACCAAGAGATCTAAGATCATTTACAATAGTCATAAACCTACGAAAGCAATCATTGATTTTTTCATTTTTATTCATGGCAAACAATTCATATTTAGACATGATTAAATCAATTTTAGACCGTTTTACCTCGCTGGTTCCCTCAAACGCAAGTTCAAGGGTGTCCCATATCTCCTTAGCACTACTACAGCCAGAGATACGATTTGTTTCGGTCTCACCTATTGCTTGTTGTAGTATTGACATTGCCTTAGCATTCTTTTCCAGCAACTTGTAATCAGCAATGACCAATTCGCTATCCTTCTTGGGAACCTGGTTCCCCTCAACATCTGTCTTGAGAATGATATTAGGACCATTTTTAACTACGAGCCAGCATTCATAATCAATACCCATGATAACATTCTGGATCCTGTTCTTCCACCAAGCATAATTATTTCCATTAAACTTGGGTGACTTGTTGTCATAACCGATTGCACTTAATTCTTGAGTACTCATTCTTAACTCCTCTAGATGTTACTCTTTCGAGAAGCTTAGGCTCTGATACCAATTGAAGGTTCAATGGGCACTCAAGAGGGGGGGGGGTGAATTGAGTGTTAAGTAATCGTTGGCTAATTTTGCTTCTTTTCGGATTATGTGTGAGGAACCAGTTGTGCTGGTTCCCGTACGCAGCGGAATATAAATAAGCAATAAAGAAGACAACAAATTTAACGAGGTTCAGCCAACTCAGGCCTACGTCCTCCTATCCTAAGTTCTTTATTAATCTACTCCGAAAAACAAAGACAAAGAACACTCTGCTGTTCCCTACTCCGGGAACCAGCAAACCCCACACTCTACTCCGAGTGTGCTCTCGACTTACACTCGTAAGCCCAATGTGTTTGAACTCACAAACACTCACCCAGCCTTTAACCCCTTTGTTAAAGACTCAATACAAGAATCAAGAACTCCCCTTTGATCTCACTTCTACGAAGCTAATTAAGAGAAAAAGTTTAAGTACTAGAATGCTCTTGTATATGACTTGATGAATGGGATTAGTGCTTAAGTATATGCTCTCAAATAATTGCTCTTTTTGATTTCTGGAGAGGCACACGAAATATGTGAAATAAGATGAGTTTATATAAGCTTAGATTCCTAAAACCTAGTTTCCTTAAATCACACAATCTTAGAGAATAAGATATAATGTAATTTTAGGAAAGTTTTTATCTTATTTGATTTAATCACAAAGATAGAATCAATTAAGATAAATACTCCTAGTTTTTAGGTAACCAAGAATATTTCATCTTATTTCCAGCTGCACAAAATATTTTCAAGATAATCTTTTCGAAAAAATCTTTTTGTAAAATCTTTTTCCAAAACGGCAGCTCGAATACAGTGAACCTGGTTCCCCGACCTGGTTCCCTGAATTGAAACATGTTATGAAACCTGTTCCAACTTTGTACCAGATTTCATATCATACTTCAATATACTTTTAAGCACTTATATAACCCAAACATGCAAGCATACTACGGAGCATATTACATGAAAACCTAGATAACATATTAAAGCATAAATCGTCTTTTCTTCATGTAATCTTCAAGACTTGAATCTTCCTTGAATACTTCTATTATGAGCAAACAATCTTTCTTCGAAATATCTTCGAAAGGCTTCTATGCTCCAAGTCTTGGAATCAACTCAACTACTGCACATGTAACATGGTTAATGCACAATAAAGAGTATGTGACTGCTTTACCACGTAGCAACCATGGAAACAGTACATACTGGTTCCCTACCAGTACATAACACTTTTATCATATAACTGTTCCCTGTATAAAGACAAGTTAGTTCAATAAGAAAACTCATGTAAGTAATAACTTGTCTGGGGAAACAGTGTTCTATGTTAGCTGGTTCCCCCAACTGTATCGAACACTTTCAAGGACCTGTTTCCCTTAGCTGTTTGTCATCATTCAAAACTATCAATCAAAACCTAAGGGACTCAACAGGCTGGTTTGCCATTTGCATCAAAGGGGAGGCAACCATCTGCGCTTGGACTTATGATGGTATTGATGTTGTTCTCCGAAATTCCCTTCTTCCTCAAAGAGCACAACAGTTTGAAGTTGCCGGCTTTAGTGTCTCAAAACTTGTTGCCGAGGCAGACAAAACTTCCAACAAACTGAAAAATCAAGGGAAAGAGGGGAAAAGAAAAAATAGCCTGCTCTAATCTCAAATCCTAACATTGTATAATTTTTTGAAATAATAGAAGCTTTTCAAAGAAATTGAGAATTCTGGTGACTTGATATCCATTGACTCCATTCCTTATCTCGTTTCCTTTATCCATGCTTATGAATCTAAATAATTTAAGGTTATTTGGTTTAATTTAATGCGTTTATTACTCATTAAATTTGGACCTATTTTCCATACTTTAAACATCCAACTTCTTTGTACTTAGGCCTTGTAATAACAATAACACTTTAATTCGTATTTCTTTTGGTTTATTATAAAGGAAAAATTAGTATTATTAATCCCAACTTTGGGTCATTTACTTTAATTAATCCCAAATATCGAATATATTTGAATAATTTTAACTCTGTGGGTATTGACATTTATCAGGCCTTATTGGTTGCCAAACTTGTAATAGCTAGTCATTTGCCAGATGTCAACATTCTATAGGTAAAAAAATAAAAAAAATTAAATTTAAATAAAATAAAAATAAAACAAAACAAACCCAGCCAAACACCCCCCAACCCCCGATCTGCCACTTCTGCCACCCAAGCTTTGACGTCGATCGATCGCCCTCTCTCCCTCGTACGCCAATTTACCCTCTCTCCCAGCGCCGGTGTCGCAACTGACCTCCCCACCGTCTTCCTTTTCTCCTTTTTCGGCTCTCCCCACAATCGAAACTCCCTAAAACCATCTGACTCCCACTCGCTAAAATAAACCACCTCACTCCACTCCCTCCACCATCGAATCTCCCTTAAAACCACCTCCCTCACTTCTGAAAACCTCCTAACAACCCTCCCCAACCATCGAAAACCCTTGGGAAGGGGAGGGAGGAGTATTCAGTTTTATTTTTATTTATTTATTTATTTTTATTTTTTTAAGGACTTTTATATCTATGGTCATTTAAAAGGTGATATGTGGTAATATTAAAAAAAAAAATCACCTTTTTTTAGGTCACCGGTCATTTGGACTTGATAAAAGAAAACACCTCCAAAGTTGGGATTATTCAGGAATAATCTATAGTTGGGATTAATTCAAATAACACATTTTTTGTATGCGGCCTGTTGTACCGTACGGCAAGGTTACTCAACTTACTCAGTCAGGGGTTATTCGAGTTGACGAGGTTAATTACTCAAGTTTCTCGGTCAGGGTTTACTCGAGTTACTCGGCCAGGGGTTACTCGAGTTGCCGGGGTTACTCGAGTTACTCGGTCAGGGATTACTTGAGTTACTCCTAATCGAGTAACCCCTCAAGTAACCCCTAACCGAATAACCCCTAACCGAACTCATTAAGTAACCCTTGACAGAATTACTCGAGTAACCCTTGACAGGATTACTCGAGTAACCCTTGACCGAATTTCTTAAATAACCCATGGCCGAGTAACTCGAGTAACCCCTAACCGAGTAACTCGAGTAACCCTTGACCGAGTCTCAAGTAACCCCTCAAGTAACTCTTGACTGAGTGAACCCCTCGAGTAACCCCTGTCCAAACCCCTCAAGTTAACCCCTGACCGAGTTACTTGAGTAACCCCTGACTGAATAACTCGAGTAATCCTTGTCACACGGTGTGGCCTACTGCACCAAAAAGTTGTTGAATCCTTTAATAATGGTCAATAAAAACCTTGGTCACATATGGCATAATTTTTCCAACCATTTTCAAAACAGCTTCCCATTTGTCATTGTTTCCTTTTCTCCTTAGTTTTTCCCTTCCCCTAGATCCTAACTCGTCCGATTTTTACAAAAAAAAAAAATAGTGTGTAAAAAATGATTTTAGTTCAGTAAAATTAATTTCAGTTCAGCAAAAATAAGATAAAGTGAACAAGACCTTACAAATCTTCTGTTTCTAAGGATAGCAAAAGCTAGCAAGACTATTCACGATGTTCAGTACTTCAACTAAGATCTCAAAATATTGTGGCTTAAAGAGACACAAGTGTATATATAGCCGACCTACCAAAACTTTAGAAACTTGTTGATAAATATTATCAGAATATTTCATAAGACATAATTAAGTAACTTAATTGGCGAATAGATGATAATCTAAAGGTTAGCTTCATCAAATGATAATAGTTATGCTGGTTGATTAGCAATTTATTGGACTTGTTTTTTTTTTTTTTTTTTTTTTTTTTGAAGTATTATTGGACTTGTTTATAAACACAAGCAATTTTAAATACTATGACCAGCCTAAGTTTCACATAAGATCTCATAATGAGCATGTTCAAGAATATTAGAAATTAACTCAACACATTACAAACACCATAGTCGAACAATAATTTGTCCAAATTAAACAATTAACATAATCAATTTCTCCTTCCTCCCTTTCTTTATCTAACTAGGGTTATAATTTTTCTCACCGTAGATTAATTAATTCAATACTTAAAAATTCAGACTATATTAGGTATAATTCGATTAAATTTATAGCAAGTCTACTGAAAATTCATTGGGAAATCCTACATATATGTATAAGCAGACTAAAGAACAATTCCATATAAAAGTATAAAACTATGATTTCACATAAAAATCATGCATAATCATAGGAAGAGATATTGATAGATCAAACAACATATCTGTAAGACCCAAAAACTTACAAACATCAAAACAATTCCTATCATTTATCGAATGATAATAGTGATAGTTTTATAAACGATACACATCAAGAGTATGAATATCAAACATATACAGAGTATATGGAAATTTTCATGGTACTTGACTACTTGTACATTCGTTCTTGTAGAGATTTAGCTTAGACAACTATCGTTCATGATGATAATTTAAAACTGATATTACCAAGTAATGTAATTGGTGGGACTCGAACTTGTGACCTCACAATACAAGTTGAGTCCGCGATCAACTTTACCAACCTTGTTTAGTTGATTGAAAATAAAAAAAAAAAAAATAATAAAAAAAAAACTGAAAAAAGAAAAAAAAAATTAAAAAAAAAAAAAAAACTTTAGAATATGTTCTTCAAAAATTCACCCACCCCCTTTGGCCCAAGGAGTATACCCACCTAAATTGGAAGAAGCCCAATATTGTACCATGAGTCCATGATCCATTAAACTAGAAGTATTTGCTTTATTTTACGTTGCCTAAAACCTCTATATGATTCCATCTTTTTAAAATCATAAAATATATATATATATATATATATTTATTTTTGAAAGCTTAAAATCATAATTTTAAAAAGTCATGATTAAAAAAATAAAATAAAAAAGGGGTTTAATTCAGTGTTTAATATACGGTGCGCAACTGCACCTAGGATGCACGGACACTTCGTCCAACAGCCGTGTCCGTGTCCGACACCGTGTCGGACACCGACACTCATTCGACACACAACGGACACACATAAAAACTATATCCGATTTTTTACTTTATTTAGACACTTTGAGACGAATCGTATCCTACTATGATACGATACGTTTTGCATTTTGATATGTCACCTCATCTTTTTAACTTTTGTAATTAGAAAGTTAAGGTAAAGTATGAGAGAAAAAGGTAAAAGTTATAATTTGAGCGCCTTCAAAACACATTTCATAGCATATTATTGTATGTGAATTAGAAGAATATTATTTAGCTACGATAAATGACTTGCTTTAAGGTTAATTATTTAGTGTTTTGTTGAATAGGTTGTTAAAATCTCGTTTTTTTAATATATTGTTTGTCTTGTTATTTGTCGTACGCGTGTCCCCTATTTTAGGAATGCTGTTTTGTCGTGTCTGTATTGTACCCGTATTCGTGTCCTTGTCCGTATCGATTATTTAGTGTTTTGTTGAATAGGTTGTTAAAATCTTGTTTTTTTAATATATTGTTTGTCTTGTTATTTGTCGTACCCGTGTCCCCTATTTTAGGAATGTTGTTTTGTCGTGTTCGTATCGTACCCATATCCTGTCCTTGTCTGTATCGATACAACCTAGTTGTGCACTACAAAAAGACAGTCGCAAATCCCAACTGTCTTGAAGGAACTTTTAGCTGGTTTTGGTCCCACATTCTGCGCGTTTGCTTATGTTACCTGAGAAACCCTATGGAAATATTACACGTGGAAAATTAAATGGATAATTCAATATTTTTGCTGTAATTTAAAAAAATGTGATACTAATTCTCCGTAGTACAGTATTTATTTTGGCTGCTTGTTATGTTATGTAGTCGGCTTCCATTAGTAGCCGGCTCTATAAATGGCTTCAGCTTAGCCAACTTTCTATGTTCTGCAATAATTTAATCAGAAAAGTTTTAAATTAGAAGCTAGGCAACTCTTACGTCTCAAAAGATTCTTACATACATCTGGGTGTAGTATAGTGTAAGGATCTTATTTAGGGGTGAATATGGATCGGATATCCGATTTAAAACGGATTTTGATTCGGATATCTGTATTCGAAAATTCTCATATTTAATATCCATATCCGATTTGAATATTTTTGGATATTCAATATCCGAATATTCAAAAATTTCAGATCGGATAGCTCAGATATCCAATATCCGACCCTATTAAATGACAATTTTTTTTTAACAGGCAAATTGATATATACACTGAATTGAACTTGAGCAAGTAAATTAAATCTGCAACTATTCTCTATAAAAAATTATTCATTGCAACTACTTGAACAACATCAAATAGACTAGAAATTTAAAAAATCCAACAAATAATTTTCACAAATTACAAAACAAAGAAATACCAATTATAAAACAAAGAAATTTTACACAAATCTACAAAAATTTATTTGCTCGTTTTGATGATTATTGCTCATTTAATTATTTAATCATCAAATAGAAAAAAATTAAATCCTTGGGTGTACCATACAACTAGGTATATTGTATATATGACTATTTCACCAAATGCCACTGAGCAATTGCGAAATTCACCAAATGCCATCCAACTTTTCAAAATTCACCAAATGCCACCGAGTTTTAACAAAATTCACCGAGTGCCATTAATGACTAACGGTCGTTACTTGACCGTTAGTTGACCCCACCACTTGCCACGTGTCACCTTCTGATTGGTCCGTTTTAAAAAAAATAATTAAACAAAAATAAAAATAAAAAATTAAACAAAAACCAAAAAAAAAAATTAAAAAAAAAAACTGAAAAAAAAAAAAAATCACCTCAACAACACCACCCTTATTACCCCAACCAAAACCATTGCCTCCACTAACCCTGCCAACTAATCTGAAACCACCCCCCCATCACTCCACCAGAAATTGAAACCACCACCCCACCCCCACCTCCGAAACCCTACACCCACCCGGAATCCTAACCTCTACCTGAATCGAAACCACCTAACGCGCCCCTACCTGAACCAAAAACGCCCTCACTTGCCCCCACCTGAACCAAAATCAGTCACGGGTTGAAGTTGTTGCAAGTTGGGCAATGATAGCGACAGGTTAGGTATAATGGTGGTGACCGCCGAAGCAACCCCCATCCCCTTCTCTCCCTCTTTCCCGTCGCGACCCACTGAGGACGTCAAACCCTAGATTTCTAAACCCACAAATTCGCCAGTGATCGATTTTTTGCGGCAGAGGAAGGAGAGGGCGCTTGATTTCGAGAGATTAGTTGGTGGTTTTAGGGTTGAGGTGGGTTGGGTAGGTGGTTTTGGGGGTCGGTGGTGGGTCAGGTGGGGTGCTAAAGGACTGGCCGACCGATTTTTGCTGGCTAAGAAGGAGGCTGGCCGTTTTCCGGCAAGGTAAGGGGAGGAGCAGGGTTTTGGGGTGGTGGAAAGGGTGGTGGCTGGGGTGGTTTCAACTTTCAAGGGTTTTCTTTTTTTCTTTTTTTTTTCTTTTTTTTTTGGTTTTTTTAGTTTTTATTTATTTATTTTTAATTTTTTTTTTTAAAAAAGACTAATCAGAAAGTGACACGTGGCCGTTATTCATTAATGACACTTGGTGATTTTTTTTAAAACTCGGTGGCATTTGGTGAATTTTGAAAAGTTGGATGACATTTGGTAAAAAAAACGCAATTGCTCAGTGACATTTGGTGAAATAGCCGTTGTATATATATATATATATATATATATATATATATATTAATTTTCATTACTCTGTATACAAGTCATAATTCATACTTTTTCCAAGATTTTGAAATTCAAACATAAAAAATTTAACCTTTGATATATTTATCAATTAAGAAGATACCTTACAAAATTAAAATACATAATTGGTAGAGAATCATGACCATAGATTAAAAATTAAGTACCATTTGAGAATTCTCGTCCTTATATCAATCAATTAATAAAGCCTTAATCTCATGAGTGGGGTCGCCTACATGAATCAAAAGCGATTATTCCATGTAATCATCAACAAAAATCTTCTTCCTCTAACCCTTACGATCCAATGCCTCATCCTCATTTAAATTAATATATTTCGTATCCTTCCTAACTCCTTCCAACCAAGTCATTTCGGTGTCTCTCTCCTTCGTTTAACCCCTCCATGGTCCCACTCTTCCACTATTCGTACCAATGCATTCTCGAGTCTCCGTCTTACATGCCCAAACCAGCGTACGTAAACGATTTTCTCTTAATTTGTCTGCAATGCCTGTCACACCTACTTTCTTGCGAATAACCTCATTTCTGATTCTATCTCTTAAAGTGTTCCCGCACATCCACCTTAACATGCACATTTCCATAACCTTCATATTTTTAATAGTTATGGATAACTTGACAATTCTAATTCGAATCATGTGCTTCTTTAACATTTTGTACGATAAAGCAACACTGAACTCGTATGGTCTTATTATGAAAGTCCTGTAAAATTTTCCCTTCAACAGTAAGGGAATGTTTCGATCACATAACACTCCCGTCCTTATATGACTTATTTAAACATAACCCTCTAATCTTACAAAGTTAATAATAATTGCTAATGTTTTTGGCAAACTATCTAGGGATTAATCCATGGTAATTTAGGAGATTGTGAGTAAGAAATTTCTATATATATATGTGCAAGAAGGCATGCACGGCATCCCATTAGCATCGTGATAATTACGGTAAAAACTATACATTTATAGGAAATAAAAAGTAGGTTGAATGAAACAATGCAATTCCCAATTGTTTAAATAGAGCTTAAATATACAATTCTGTTTCTATTTGTTTCACCATGCATCATGCATGCGACAACGTATGTGGTCCTAATGATGATGATTTACTAGATCATATTCATCGTTTATTTTTAATTTGTTTTTCTAAGATTTGTTTCTTCAATTTCTTATTGTTTATTTTACGTTTTATGTTGCATGATTGACGGGACATTCTAATATTAGCTAAATACTAATTAAATGTATTACTCCTACGGTAGTCCTACCCTTGCAAATTAAGAAAATCAAAGAATAAATATAAAGGAGCATTTGAAGGGCAGAAGAGAAATGGATTTTTTTAAAGTGTAGATGTGGCAAAGCGATCGTTTGAATCAGGTCTGGAATAAGATATGAGATACAATATTTAAAATGTTAAATAATCAATCAAAATCATAATGCACTACAAATCTTAACCGTACTAATAGACATTTATAAAAAGTATATAGAGTTTTTTTAAAAAAAAAATAAAAATAAAAATTATAAACATAGCATTCGAATAACAAGATAGTGATTTTCAAAGAAAGTAATTATGTATATTTCAAAAAAAAAAAAAAAAGAGTAATTATGTTAATAAATGGTCACATAATTTAACCTTTAGTCAGGTAACGGTCATGATGGATGCTTGTCTTTTACTCATGTGCGCTCCTATGCGGCATAATTGGGTGTAATTCTCCGTATTTGCATGCTCATCTCACATGTACTTGGATTTTTTATAACATCGTTCCATGATCCATATCATAATCAACAACTTGTAGAAAGAATAGTATTTATATTCAAAACATGAAAATTATATTGACAAGTTAAATTCTTTGTTTTTATGTGTTATGTCTCTTAGTTTGGTAGGCCTATATCTCTTGGGTATGATGTTGATAGTAATAGGGAACTAATCAAGATTATAGCTAGAAACTTGGAGTCTGATTGGATGGTTATTATTCCATATAATTTGAAGTTGAATGAAGTTTATTTGCAAGAGAAGAAAGCGATGAATTAGATAAGATAAGCTTTGAAAACATGTGTTATAGCTAATAAGTTCTGATAAAGTGATAAGAGTTACCTAAGTTTAAACCATCATTATAAGTTTTGATGAAGTCTGAAAAGTTTTAATAAATTTAGATAATATAAACTAATTAATAAGTCTAGTAAGTAAATATATTAAGTGAATTGGACACACCTTAACTTTGTATTCCATACACTTGCTTTTTCACTAATCTAAAAATTTATTAATGCATAGTCCATTGTTAATTGAAATCGTATACCCTAGCTTATTCATCCTTACATAAAATTATTACTAGCATATGAAATCACACAAACTATTGGGTGTAGGGGTGGCAAAAACTGACCCGACCCGAAAACCCGACCCGAACCCGACCCGAAAATAGCAGGTTAGGGTTGAGAATTTCGACACGAAAACTTAAATGGGTTGACACGAACCCGACCCGAAATTAAATGGGTTAGGTTAAGGTTGAAAATTTCAACCCGAAAATGACCCACATAACCCGAAAATAATTTTCGGGTCAAAATCAGGTTGGGTTGACCCGAACCCGACCTTATAACCCGAATAAAAAAGTCTTAAAAAAAAAATCATTTTAATGGCTAATGGCCCAAGCCCAATTTAAAGTTCTAAACCTAAAAAAACCCTAAATGTGACTAACCCCCACCAGCCGTTTTGTCTCCTATTTTCTCATTTTGCCCTCTCTCTCTCTCTCTCTCTCTCTCTCTCTCTCTCTCTCTCTCTAAACTTCTCTGGTACTCATTTTCTCAACAATCTCAAGTTCTCAGACACTCCACACTCACTCTTTCCTTCTAGTTCTTTCTCACTCTTTCGTTCTCAAGTTCTCAACTTTTCCCTCTTCTCACTCCTCAACGCCTGAAAGGTAATGGTTATTAATTGTTTTTTATTTCGTTTCGTTTTTGTTTTGAATTTCAAGTTCTGATTCTGAATTTTCCATTCTTGTTTTTTTTTTCAAATCTTCAAATCTTCATCTCCTTCAAGCCGTCAAACCTCAAACTCTCAAAGGTAATTCTTTTTTAATTTTTGTTGTTTTTGTTTCGATTTTTGTTGTTTTCGTTTCTGTTTTGTTGTTTTCGTTTCGGTTTTGTTCTTGATTTTTGATGTTTTTTTTTTCGTTTCAATTTTTTTGTTTTCGTTTCGAGTTTGGTTGTTTTCGTTTTGGTTTTGTTGTTTTCGTTAGTTTTGTTCTTGATTTTTGTTGTTTTTGTTGCCGTTCCATTTTTGGTTGTTTTTGTTTCGAGTTTGGTTGTTTTCATTTCATTTTGGTTGTTTTCGTTTGGTTTGTTCTTGATTTTTGTTGTTTTTGTTTCTGTTTCAATACAGATTTGTATTTGATTATTGTTGTTGTTCTTGCATGATAATAGTATTAAGTTTATATAACGTATGATGGGTTGCTTTGTAAATTTCTAGCACAATAATCCAATTCCTGATCTAATTTACAGCAAGAATATATCTTTGACATGCATGTGATTTTTTTTTTAATTTTAGGTCTAATTTAGATTATATCTCTAACTTGTTGTTGTTGACTTGTTGTTTATTTTATATTGTTGTTCTTGTCCAAATAATTTCTGATTTTTTTGCGGTAATTATGGATGTTGATGTTTAGATTATATCTCTAGAAATAATAGATCAGTTTTTGTCTCTTGTTTTCAAATAAATGTTTTATTTTGTTATAATTTTTGCAGTAATTATGGATGCCGATGTTCAGCAACTTTCTTCCGAGGAAGAGAAGATTGACTCGACAACACAAGACAAAGGAAATGGTAAAAACCAGAAAACTTCTTCTGGTAAACCTCGTGTGATTCTTACTGGTAAGAAACGTCAACGTCGGCTTTCTTCTGGTGTTTGGGTGAATTTTGATTTTTTAGACGAGCCTCATCAAAATGGTAATCTAACTTGCAAATGTAAAAAGTGTGGTATACATTTTAATGCTGATAGTAAGAATGGAATTGGGAATCTTTATCGTCATTTGAAAAATTGCAAACAAAGGTCTTTTAGGGATGTTGGTCAAATGATATTAGAGAAAACGTCCTCTGGTTTAGGAAATAGATTGCGTGAATTTGATGCTAATTATTTCCGTGAATTATTATCTCTTGCTATTGTGGAGCATGATATGCTATTTCAGTTTGTAGAGTTCAAGGGTTTTAGGAGATGTTTTAATTATTTGCATCCTGATTTCAAACCTGTCACTCGAAATACTATCAAATCTGATGTACTTAAGATGTATAAAAGAGGGAAAGAAAAATTAAAAGCTGTTTTGGGCTCAACTTGTAGTAGAATTGCATTGACTTCTGATTGTTGGACTTCTATAACCACTGATGGTTATATTTCATTGACAGCTCATTATGTTGACAAGTCTTGGTGTTTGAAAAAAAAGATTTTGAACTTTTCTTACATTGGTCCTCCCCATACAGAAATTCATTTATGTGATTATGTGTATGGTTTGATAAAAGAATGGGGTATTCAAAAAAATATTTTTTCAATTACATTAGATAATGCTTCTTCAAATAATGTTTTTGCTGAAAACCTAAAAGGGGAACTTGAGTTGATTTGTGGTGGGGAATTTTTTCATGTAAGGTGTTGTGCTCACATTCTTAATTTAATTGTTCAAGATGGTTTAAAAGAAATTGATGAGGTTGTGTATAAGATTAGAGAGAGTGCCAAATATTGTAAGAGTTCACAAGCTAGGAAACAAAGGTTTTTAAGTTGTGTATCACATGTTGAAATTCAATCTACTAGAATTTTACAACAAGATATTCCTACTAGATGGAATTCAACTTACATGATGCTTGATTGTGCTTTGTATTTTAAAAAAAGCTTTAATTCACTTTCAAAAAGTTGATGCCAATTATGTACATTGTCCTTCTGTTGAAGAATGGGGTAGAGTTGAAAAAATATGCAAGTTTTTGAAAGTTTTTCATTATGTCACACTTGCCTTTTCTGGGACCAAATATCCAACTTCCAATCTCTACTTTCATAGAGTCTTACAAGTTAGGTTGTTGTTACAAAATGAAATGAAAAGTTCAGATCTTTTTATGCAAAAAATGGCTTGTAAAATGTATGAGAAATTTGGAAAGTATTGGTCAGAATTTAGTACATTTATGGTTGTTGCTGTGGTGTTGGATCCACGATATAATTTGCAATGTGTCAATTGGGGTTACATGAGGATATATGGTCAGCATAGTGTTGAATAAGAGCTTGAGTTTTCTAAGGTTAAGGATGCTTTACGGAGGTTGTACGAGGCTTATGCATCCAGTCATTCTTCATCAAGCAATGTTATTGACAAGGGTTAAATCGGTCGTTACAATCTAACTCTCAATCAAACAATACTTATACGAACACCCTATAACCAAGTACAATGGCAAATAAAGGTTCGGTCCACGAGGAACGAGAGTAATTGCAAATCAATCTTAAACCTAAGCTAGTTCGAAATCAATGGAAAATGGTGTTCTAAAATACTACTAATAAGATGGAATAAATCAATAAACTAAGACACTAGGGAGAACGGGAATCCGCCTAACCACTGGTAACTAAACAACAAGGAATCACAGAGACAAACGGGATATGCAAAGACTATAAGTCTGATCAATATCATGTGATAGGAAGACAACGGGCAATACTAAGCTTGGATTTCTCATGCACTTAACATTACTCGATACATAATCAAACCACATTCAATAATGAAATACTCAATTCACAATCTCTCGTTCAAATCAAGAATATCATGCAATCAAATTCAAGATTCTAGGTTAGCTACTCCTATTATAATGAATTAACATGCAATCGCATATAATCAATTTAATCACAATCCGTTTATCAAAATCAATCCTCAATTACATAGATTACCTAGGCCGGGTTTCATCCCGAAACCCTAGCTAGGAGACTACTCACACATACTCATAATCAAAGCAATAATGAATTCCAAAAGCATAATAGATATAAACATGAATTCTGATTAAGGAATAATAAAGCTTGATTAATAAACAAGAATGAATAATACCAATTGTATTGATGCGAATCAATGGAAAAGTTCAGAACTTTGATATCCGTCGTCAATGAATAATACAAAGAATCTTCACAAATCTTGCTTCAAATCAATCCAAGAAAACTAAAATCTCTAGAATAATCTCTAAGAAAACTAATGAATCTCTAATACTAAGAACGTTCTCCAATAACTCTCTACAAAGGCTCTCCAAACTATCTCTAAAACTGTCCTTGGAATCCTCTTAAAGTTGGGTCTTATATACGTCTTTTAATGCGGAGAAGTCAAGCGCGCAGTTAACCTTGGATCAGCACGGCCGTGCTGTATTTGGCATGGCCGTGCTAGCTTGTCAGTAAGCAAACCGGGTTTCTTCTTCAAATTGGCACGGCCGTGCTATATATGGCACGGCCGTGCTAAAAATGACACGGCCGTGCTGAATATGCTCTAGCACGGGGCACATACTGAAGCTGACACGGGCACAGGCAACATCTGGCACGGCCGTGCTAATGGCCTGCACGGCCGTGCGGGTGCGTGGATACTGACACGGCCGTGCTATTGGCTTGCACGGCCGTGCTGCCTTGCCTGGGGTTGCTTGCTTATAGGCCAGCACGGGTGTGCCTATGGTAACACGGCCGTGCTGCCTGTGCTATGTAATCAATGCACGACACTTGAACTTCCTTAACTCCTCGGACTCCGGTCAAGGCTAGCTCGGTTACGCATCAAGGGCTCGGGATCCGATTAAACTCAGTTGATATTACCTGAAAACACATCAAAAACAAACCGAAAACCCGTGAAGCACGTAATATGGGGAACGTAAGCATAACAAGGTAATAATCGGCCAAAGCGGCCCCAAATACATCCAAAATCATCCTAAAATATGCTCTAAAGCGCGCCCTAAAGTGCGCTTGTCAAAACCCCCCAAGCTACACTTTTGCTAGTCCTCAAGCAAAAACCAAGGGATACACACACACACAGGATCAAATAAACTATTGCCATTACATATAAATCCAATTTAGCACGGAATGAAGTCAATGGATCCTACTTAGAACAACCATGCACGGAATGAAAACTCACTCAAACAAGCAACGAGACACACAATCCAAGGTATCGTTGATCAAAATGCAACAAAACCTAAACCAAGCATAGAGAACAAAGAAGTCATGCTTCCCTCTAAACCCAACCAAACCGGCCACGTCCTCCCCTTTTGCTTCAAATCACCACCCTAATTGGCCCCTCGTGATTCCTCGAAGGAACTGAAAAAAGTGATATTTTGAGGAAATAACAAAGGTATCCCGACATCTCGATTACGCATAATCTTTCCATAGGGTTGAAAGGTATCTCCCTCCACCGTTTGAGAACCGAACACCTCTAAAGTCTAAGGGTCTTAAAGGGTTGTAATGTATTGGCAATGGGTAAGGTAGGTGAAAACAATTTAAAAAATGGGGTTAATTCCTAAATGAAGCGCAAGAATCACAATTCTCAAAATCAATAGTTCAAAAGATGCAATTCACATTCCACAATAAACATTGATCACACTTTTACACATCCCAAACTCTCTATGTTATACACACTCAAATCACCTTTTTCAAACTTCAAAGATTTTATTCATATGTCCTCGCCTTTTTCACAATTCGGACGGCTTTTCTCCTTTTTTTTTTTATTTTGATTTTTTTTTTTTTTTCTTCTTTTTTTTCAAAAACAAATTTTCATATTACATCTTTACAATTAAGCTCACTTTCAAACTTGCTCAAACCAACTATCGATCATTATTCTTGATTTATACACAATAAGCTCAAACAAACCTTGCGAGGTAAACGCTTCACGACTAAGGGTTGGTAAAACATTAGCCATCGGGTTTGTAACATGGGTAACCAAGAATGGAATTAAAGGCTCAACATGGTTAGCAAGTAAGATGATGTAAAAAGAAAATTAATTTGTAACAAAACAAAAGGAACAAGAATAAGAAAAAGGAAAAAGGTGCCCTCTTCCTCCCTTAAAAGTGTCAAGTCGGTCTTGGGAGCTACAAGTCAACACAAAGATCGAAACATGCGTAATCAAGGATCCAAATATGTCACTCAAGAAGAATGATGAAGGCTAGAACAATAAAACCTCACGGGATTCAAAAACAAAGCAACTACCAATTAAGGGGATCAAATCCACAAATGGGAAGCGACTCCATCTTACCACAGCCCAAAGGCATAGAGTTTCACATGACAAAAGTGTTCTAACCAACTACCTTCGCCTAGACTCGTCTACATTGATCAACAATAGACTCAAACTGTGCATTCATCACTGGCTTAAGTAGAAATAGATATTCCACACACATTCATTCACGTTTCGAATCCAAATATGAGCATTATTCCAAAAGTTTATGCAATTAGACAAGTTTATCACGATCCAAAAATATAGGAAAAGACTATGAGGCAAATCATATAAACTAGACTACACATTCTCATAACAGAAGCTTTTCCTATATTGCACACATAAATAAACAACTAAGTAATCTAAACAAGCTAAATGGCTCATAAAGAGGCATGAAAATCACATAATAATCCCAATCGACAAACAAGTGATCGAATGATATCAACATCAACGATCCCAGGTTCCTTAGAACCGATCAAACATCCTCGAACCATTCAACTTCTTCCTAAACTAAACTATCCTAAGCACACAAAAAAAGAAAAGATCTCACCAAATTTGCTTCCCGGGAGCTCCAATTAACGGCCATAGCATCGTTCTTCAAACTCATGCCGCGTCTCGAATGTTCCCAATCTGCAAAAAGGAAAGACATACTAGCAAACAAGTTAAGGTTAGTCTAGGAAAGCAGTAAATCTTTTTGTTTTTGTTTTTGTTTTTCTATTTATTTTTTTTTCGAAAGCAAATAAAAACTAAACTACCAAAAATCCAAATCCCTAAATACAAGTAAGACCCCCCCAAGCTAGAATCAAACATTGTCCTCAATGTTTACACATCAAGGACTTACAATAGTAAGGAGAGGGAGGTAACTAAAGGGAAAGGGAAAGGGATCACGAGCTAGGCCCGCCCGGGCCATAAGGGAAACGGGAGGCCATATCATCAACACTCCTCTTCAGGTCTCTGAAGGCGAAGGTCATATCCTCGTTCGACCGGCGCAAATCCGCTACCTCGAGATTCAAATCTTCCATTCCTTGGCGGAGCCAGGCGAAGTCTTGCGCCGGGATCTGCTGGGCCGCATCCGGGCCACCCTCCTCGTCATCATCATCATCATCAGCATCGTCACCTCCTTGGCCCCCGTGGGCCTGCTCATCCCCCTGGTGAGGCTGGGGATTGCGGTCTACATACTCCGTGCCTCCGTCCTCGTGCCAGGCGAAGTCGGGGTCGAAGATCCAGTTGTCTTTGTTGTAAACCACCGTCCTCTCCAGATCGGGCAAGTAGGCGTATGACTTGCCTGCTACGAGCCACAAATAGCAATCCGGCTGGGATGTCCCTTCAAGCCACTGCATAGCTCTCAAGGTGCGCATATCAAGCCTCGTAGTGCCTGGGATAGCCTGGAATTCAGAAAAATCAATCCCATTATATTGCGCAAGAATGGTGATCATGCCACCGATAGTAATATCACCCCTACCCCGGGCTACACCGTCGAGGTGGTCTAGTAACCACGCTCCCATGTCTAGACGCCCGTCCCCACGGGTGAGGTGCCAAATAAACTGTAACTCCCTAATGGAGACTACACCCGAACTATCTCCTCTAGCAAAGATAGTAGAGGAGAAGGTCCTGTGGGACAACCGAAAGGCGGGATTGACGATGGAAGTCGCCTTATCCTTACGGGGATCTCTATCCATTTTCCCCGTGATTTTCCGCCAAAACAACCCGGAGTTGTAGTGTTTTGAGTGGCCATCCTTAGGACCATATTTCAGGTCGGATGTCCACCCAAAGGCGGCATTAACTTGGGCCACCGACATTTGAATGGTGCCCGAGTTCATTAGTTGAAAGGACAAGTACCGGGGTGAGTTATTCTCATCCCGATGCACGTACAAAGAAGACAAAAATTCGAGGGTAAGCCTCTTGTAAGTGAGAGCATGCATGGTAAGGAAAGAATCAAAATTGGTAAATGAAAATAGTTGAACCATGTTGCTTTCGATCCCTAGAGCCCTATCGGCTAAAGGGTCGTAGAACTTGGTAGGCCGGATCGGTCGGTGGGATAATCCTACAAATTTGTCCAAAAAGGACGGG